GTGTGGGAATGGGGCTGGTTGTAAGTCCCATGCTGTCTCATTTGTCAGTCCTGGAGAACAAACATTAACTGGCCTGGGTGGCAGACTACTTATCTTCTGGGTACTTTGGAGGTGTCATCCCTTTAGCTAAATTCTCCTTGTGTGACTTGGTGCAAACCTATTAGTAAGTCCTTTATAACATCAACACTAACACCTTGAGTTTCTTCTATATCAGGCACTGAGATTATAGGCACACCTGCTGCTAGGCTTGGCTTTGTGTGTGTGCTGGGGCCCCTAACTCAGAGCCTCTGGCTCGTGTAGCTGGCACTTTACCTTCAGAGTCATCTCCCCAACCCCAGTCCATCCATTAAACATGTTATTATTATTATTATTATTGTGTGTTTATATGTGTCCATGATACAAGTGTGTGGACAACCGTACTGTTCCAGCACACGTGTGGAGGTCAGAGGACAACTCTGTGGAGCTGGTTCTCTATTTCCACCTTTGTGTGAGTTTTGGGAATTGAACCCATATTGCCAGGCTTGTCCAGAAAGCTCTGTTACTGGGGTTAGCCAGCTCCCTGGCTCTAGCCTTTCCTCAGAGAGAAGATTCAGGACAGGCTACAGTGTGGAACAGAGAGAACAGAGAGAATCCAGGGCCATCCCAAGAGTTAAGTAACCTCTGTGCAGGGGCATAGAGTCCCCAGAGACAGCGCTGGCCACCCTTCAGATCACAGTCATTGAGCAACACAAAAACCCTGGCAGGAAAGAAGGCAGGCACAGATAGAAATCAATACATCTGACTCCAACACTCAGTCCCTTCTTTGCCACACAGACTCCTGGCAGCATGTGGTGAGCCTCCTGAACAGGCCTCTACTGTTTCCTGCTTCCACTTCAATCCAGGTTTCCTGCCCTCCTGAGGACACAGCCAGGTCTTTCAGACACATTTCCTAATATGGTCGTGGGAAAAGCACCACAAACAAAACATAGCACTTTCAAAGTCTGGATTTTGATTCACAAGGTTCTTTTACATATAACTTCTTGTCATCAACTGGTTTCTTTGTGAAAGAATCCAGAGGTGTTTAGCCTCAGAAGGAAGGCCCTCTAGTTCAGAGACTACTCCATAAATCCCAGACAAGCCACATCGGCTGCACACCCCTGACCCCCCGGGCCCAATCCAATTAAATAAGAAATACGGTCAAGAAATTGTTACGTACAATACACAGAGTTATCTGATGACAGCAGACTTCACAGAACTCTATCTGGGCAGCAGTTCAAGTTGGGAACACAGGACTTCTGTTGCCGGTCAATAGGAGGCTAGGTAATTGGACCACCTCTTCCTCTAAACACAAAACCACACACCAACAGCAGACACATATCAAAGATCAGACAGGGTGCTACAGTGATACCAGGCTGACATCCAGAGAGGGCAGGTACCCAGACAGATAGGCTCAGTCATCGGGCCTGCCCGTGTGAGTCATAAGGTGGCTGGCACAAGCCAGAGGGTTTCTGAAAGTCTTGCAGGGTGACCGGGATCAGTAGTTGTATTCAGGGTCTATCAAAGGTGGAGTGCTGGTCAACATTGTCTGTTTGGGGTGGAGACGCAGAGGACAGTCCTTGAAGGCTAAAGAGTTACCAAAGGCTAACCTTGCATAGTCTGATTGGCTTCAGTGGCTTAGAACACATCCACAGGGATTTAATGTGATCCCAGAATTCCAGCCCCACTGGATATCTCAACAGAAGTGACCAAAGTGTCAGGAAGGAACCCTCCCAGGTCTGAAGATGTTCTAATCAGTGTTTCAAATGTGGTGTCCATCATTAAATAAAAAGTAAGGCTGAATGTGGTAGTGCACACTGTATTGCTGGTACCTGCTTCTGTTTGTTGGCATTTATGGTGAGAAAAGGTCTCATGTAGCCCAGGCTGGCTCACTATGTAGCTTAGGATGACTTTGAACTTCTGAGTTTCCTGCTTCCTCCTGCTTCGTGCTAGGATTATAAGGATCAGACACACATAGTTCATAAGGTATTTAGAGTTGCACCCAATGCTTTGTGTACGATAAAAAAGCATTCTACCAATGACATCACCAGCCCTGTAATCAGGAGTTCCAGTCTAGCCTGGGGTGCATGAGACCCTGTCTCAAAACAAAGAGACGAAACCAGATGAAATAGAAGCAAATAGAAAAATTTAAAATGTATCTGACAGGAGAAACCAAGGAGAAGCAGCCAGAAGTAGCAACAGAAATACATTTCCTGTAGCTGGAATCAGATTGAATACAGGCAAAAGGTTCTAGAAAATTCCCCACTTGTCACTAAGCTTGTCTATTTAAACCGTTCACTCTCTTAGACTCATCTCCACTCAGTGCCTGAACTGGTACAATCGATTTGTAGCTGGTCTCCGTTCACTCCATCCTTTGTCAGCTTTTGAAGTGCTGGGGACTGAACCCAGGGTCTTGAGTGGGCTGAGCAAGGGTCCAGCGCCGAGCTGTGTCCCTGGCTCCTCTCACTGTTCGTTGACACTGGGAGGGTTTCACTAGGTTGCCTAGGCTGGCCTTGAGCTCGCTCAATAGCCCACAAAGCTCTTGACTGTGTGATCCTCTCCTGCTTACTAAGTAGCTGGGATTACAGGCCTGTGCCTGGAGCCTGGCTTCCAGTTAACTTCTTAAGAAGCAAATCAGACTGCTCAGCCCTGTGATGACAGCCTTTGCCATTTGTCCTCAGGAGCCCTGTCACCTGAACTCCTTCCCACGCAATCTGTTTACACGGTACTGCTTTCCTCAGTGACTTACCTCTGCCTTGGAGGGCCTCTTCTCTTGTTCCACTCTGGCAAATGTCTCCTATTCCTCAAAGCCTGCTCCTCAGATCAACTGGCTTGGCAGCAAGCCCCTTTACTCACTGAGCCGTATCACTGGCCCTTCAAAGTCCACTTTGAACCTCTTTCCTGAACTCTTCCCATGTGTCTCTATTACAGACAGACACACTGTGCTATTTGGGTCTATTTCTCAGGTATTTCTCTGCGTGTGTGGTGTGTACATGTGTGTATGGGCACACTCACCCATTCCTCACACACAGATAGTGGGTCCCTTTCTCATACACTCCTCACCTTGTTTTTTAAGACAGGGTCTCTCAGGGAACCTAGAACTCATGTTTTCTGCTAGACAGCTGGCCAGTTTGCCTCTGGGACTGTTGCCTCAGCCCTGGGGTTACAGAAGCACTACCATGCCTAGTTTTTTACATGGGTACTAGGGATTCAAACTCGGGTCTTCATGTTTGTACAACAAGCGTTTTATCGACTGATCACAACTTCTTGCAGTAGAGATCTTGTTAATTTCTCATTGTTAATTTCATTCCTTCTGCTCAGAACAAACAAGGCTTATTTATGAAAGAATAAGAATTTTTGTTCAGTTTATTGTTTTTTTTTTTTTTTTTTTTTTTGGAGACAGGGTCTCACTATGTAGTATAATCTAGCCTGAAAATCTCCTGGCTTCCTGAGTGCTAAGATTACAGGAATGTGCTGAGATAAAGGCATGTGATACTATGCATGGCTATACGTGGTCTTAAACAGTAGATGAAACAGATTATTATTGATTAAACTGTGTCCCTCACCGACCTCCACCCCCACCCCCAAAAAAGGTCATAAATTGAATCCTCAACCTCCAGAGTGACAGTAGTTGGAGGAAAAGCCTTTGAAGAGGTAGTTAGGGTTAAATCCAGTATTCAGAAAGGACCCCATTCCCGTAGAGTCTGTCTTTAAAAGAACAGAAAGAGCCAGGTGTGCCCGAACACTCATGTAATCCCAGCACTTGGGAAGTAGAGGGAAGATCAGGTGATCAAAGCTGACCCTGGCAGGTTTCTACATGAGACTATCTCAAAAAAACAAAACAAAGGCAGCAGAAAGATATGAGTGACACTTCCCTCTGCTGCTAAGATTCCTTCCAGGGGAAATGTAAGCAGTGTCTATCCCTCCTGAGGCCTGGAAGATAAACCACTGGATAGATCCTTCAGAGTTTACTTTGGGAAACCCAGTGAGACTATGGGGATCTTAGCTACAGAGCATGGGTGAGGAGCTACTCACTGGAGCGTGGGAGTCTTTACCCAGTAGGAATTGTGACTCTCCCCCACACTGGCATGGATGGAGCCCCTTCCCCTATTCCCCGCTGCCATATACGCTCTAGCCCCTCCCTGAAGCTGTATGCGATTAGGGCAGAGTTGCATACAAGCGGCAGCGGCGAGCAGCTGTGCCGCTCCACCTCTCTTTGATGGATATAAACAGACAGCCCAGCTGGGATGCTCTTTTTTGAATGGACGCAGCTGAACTCGTAAAGCGATGGCTATTTGGCTTGGAGGATGATCCTGTGTTATGCCCTCTTTTCATGCTCCTCAAGATGCCCGAGGGAGGATGCAGAGAGCACAGCTGTCTGTGGGCAAGCCAGGAGAAGAGGCTCAAGACATACCACTTCTTTTGGCACCTTCATCCTCGGAACTGTGAGAAAGCACACTCCTGCTGGCCGAGGTATGTTTGTCCTGTTTGCTATGGCAGCCAAAGATGAGGCACAGCTATTGCCAAGATTTCAAACATTTCTTTTTTTCTTTTCTTTTTTTTTTTTTTTAAATGTATTTAAGCTAGGCGGTGGTGGTGCATACCTTTAATCCCAGCACCCAGGGTTAATCCCAGCACTTGGGAGGCAGAGGCAGGCAGATCTCCGAGTTGGAGGCCGGACTGTTCTACAGAGCGAGTTCCAGGACAGTCAGGTCTACACAGAGAAACCTTGTCTAGGGGAAAAAAAAAAAAAGAGTATTTATTTTATATGTATAAGCATTGCACTTGCTTGCTTGTGCACCCTGTACATGCCTGGTGCTGGAAGGAGGCAGGATAAGGCATGCAGTCTTGTGGAACCTCAGTTACAGATGGTTGTGAACCTTTTTGGGAGGCAGGGGAGTCGGGGTAGGGGAGGCGAATGAACCCTGACGAAGTCTCAGAACTGACAACAACCGAGCAGACAGGAGGCCCCGGCACTAAGAAAGTGGACAGCTTTTTAAAAAGTTTTATTTCAAGAACCTTGTTTTTGTTTTTGTTTTTTTTAACTGGTATTCCAAAAAAGGCGGGTCAAAGTACAAAACCAAAAGTCAGCTGAGTGCCAGAAGAGGTTTAGAAGTCACAGCTGCAGAAGCAACGTACAGAGAGCACAGACAAGAACCATCCAATATATGCAATCCTGCTCAGTTTCTTTGCTTATTTTAAGTGTTTCCCCCTCCTACAAAACACATCAGAGCATGCCATGAGATCAGAAAAAGAAAAGCTTAACAAATGGTTACGAGACGTCGACACTGCCAGAGAGGAGACAACGGTCCTTCCCTCCCCCACCCCCCTTTCCTCTCTTCTTGCTGGGTCTCAGGTTAGGTTATTCTGGAGACAGTTCACCTCCAAGTCATCCTGGTCACCTTTGCCACCCTCAAGTTTGGGTGACATGGAGTTCTGGATGTTAAAGGACTCTTCCTCCTTCAGGCGGGACTTGAGAGCTTCCTGGATTTTATGGGGAGCACTGGGGTCGTCCTGGAAGAGGAGAGAATTGGGGGGATTGTTGGGAAGAAAGACAACAGATAGAAGGATCAAAGCAATCGTGCCGGGCCCTCCTAGACGGCTGGGAGCAGGTTGGAGCAAGGACAGCAATGCTAAGTTTGGAATAAGCCAGCAGAGACTAAGGGGCTGAGAGCGGCTGCCGCGGAGGAAAGCCACCCTCCTGAAAGCACTGATCCTGGCCAGAAGTTCACAGGTAATCATCCATCAGTAGGGAAGTGGAGGCAGGAGAGCCGGAAATTCAGGGCTAGCCATAGCTATATAGCAAGTTCAAGATCAGCCTGTACTATGTACAAACAGGCAGGCAGACACAAGTAGTCAGATTATGAATCTTTCCTCATTAAGAGGTGGGGAAGAAACTGGTCCATTTATTTATTTATTTATTTATTTATTTATTTATTTATGGACAGGGTCTTACTATGTAGGTAGCCCTGGCTGGCCTAGAACTTATTATGTAGACCAGGCTAGTCTCAAACTCATAAAGATCTGACTGGTACTAGCTGCTAGTGTTGGCATGAAAGGTGTATACTACCATACCTGGCTACTTCTTTTTTATAGATTTTCCCAGTAAAGATTTTATTTATTTATTTATTTATTTATTGGTTTTTTTTTTTTTTTTCGAGACAGGGTTTCTCTGTATATCCCTGGCTGTTCTGGAACTCACTCTGTAGACCAGGCTGGCCTCGAACCCAGAAATCCACCTGCCTCTGCCTCCCAAATGCTGGGATTAAAGGCGTGCACCACCACTGCCTGGCAAGATTTATTTTATTAATTTTAATCATGTATATGTGTGTTCATCTGTGTGGGGGTGTATGTACCTGAGTGGAGGTGACTGCAGACATGTGTGTTCATCTGTGTAT